TTCTGGGGATAAATTTCATGAAAAGGACAATGACTGCATTCCTCAACAGGGTAACACATCCATGTCCCCTCAAACTGATCTAGATTCAATGGACTCCCAATCAAAATCCCTACAAGTGCTTTTGTAGAAACGAACAAGTTGATTCTAAAAATTCGTGAGGACATGCAGATAACCTACTAGAGCTGAAACAATGTTTTCTTTAATAAGAATCCAGTTCAAAGACATATGTTGTCCAAATTCAAGTCATTATTACATTCTACAGTTTGCATAAGCTGCACTCACCTCAAGTGACCATGGAACTAGTCACACCATTCAATAGACAAGGAACACCTAGACGCAGACTCCCATGTGCAACTCAAATGGGTCCCAATGGAGCTGCTGCCAGAGTAGCATGTAGAGGAAAGAAAAATCTCTGCTACGGGGAGACTCTAAATGTTCTCTGGGCAAAAAGAAGGCAGATTTCATTCCTTTCCCTCCTCTTGCACAGTGGATAAACTCAAGGTGCATCAGAAAGCTCAAGGCAAGAGTAAAGACCACTAGAAGGAAGCAAGGGAGCAAATCCTTGAATCTTGGGGCAGTGCAGGAAACACTTAGCAAGAAAAATGTAAACTGGGCTTCAAAATTCCAGAAACCTTTGCTTTGGTACAGCAATTACTAAGAAATGGTAAGAAGCCAAGACTAAGAAAATCACAACAGACAGTCCTAACAAGGTACACATACTCTTACAACTAGATTAAGACAAACAACCCAGTTAAAAACTGGTTTAACCAAGAATGATATCACTCAGTTGTAATCACAACATTCAAGAGACTGAGGCAGGAAGACAGAAAGCTCAAGTTAGCTTCAACTACAAAGTAAGACCCTATCTCAAACACATAAACAAAATAAATAAAAGTTGTGTAAAACAGCCAAATAAGGATTTGCAAAAATATAAACATCAGGAAACAGAAGAGATTCTACTACACAGCCACACAAATGGCCCCAAATCAAAGACCAACTGATCAAGTACTGATTAACAGTTAGAGCCAAAAGATTTCTATCCTGTCCCTGAGTTTAAAAAGGTGTTCACTTAGAAAATATTCTAGCATTTCTTTTTTCTTAAAGACTTAACTAAACGTTGGGTGTGGAATAGGTCTTTAGTTCCAGCGCCTGGTGTCAGAGGCAACTGGTGAGACTGAGGCCAGCCTGGTCTAGTGAGACTCTGTCAAAACAAAGAACCAAGAATGCTAAAATACACTCATCTGACCCAGCAATGCTACTAAGTATTTACTCAAAGAAAGAATATCAACATCCAGAGATACACACCCAAATGCCCCAGCAGCTTTATTCAAAATAGACAAAAACTGGAAAACACCCAGATGTCCCTCAGCAGGTGACTGACAAACCATGGCACAATCACATAAAGAAATTCTACAAGGCATAAACAGAACCAAACTACTTACAGCTACATTTGGTGCAGTGAAAGAAGTTACAATAACATTATAAGCAAAACTTGGATGAAGCAAAACTAATCCCATTAAGAAAGCCGATGGGGAGGGGGGGACAGGTAGAGAGATGGTTCAGTGGTTAAGAGCACTAACTGCTCTTCCAGAGGACCTGGGTTCAATTTCCAGCATCTATATGGCAGCTCACAACTGTCTGTAACTTCAGTTCTAAGAAATTCAACACCCTCACAGACATACATACAGGCAAAACACCAATGCACATAAAATTAGACAGATAGACTGATAGAAAGATAAAAGCAGATGGGTATGAGTCTGGGCCTGGGGGAGGGGCTGGCCGCAAAGGAGCCCAAGGCAGCATTCTACGGATGACAAAAAACTGCCTTGACTGTGGTGGCTATTTAAAGGATATCATCGCTTGTTAAAATGCAAGGAATCATGTCCATATGTGGCATGGTTCATTAGTTATGTTTCAGTAGAGTGAGGTTTTTTTTGTTTTTTTTTTGTTTGTTTGTTTGTTTTGTTTTTCGAGACAGGGTTTCTCTGTGGCTTTGGAGCCTGTCCTGGAACTAGCTCTGTAGACCAGGCTGGTCTCGAACTCACAGAGATCCGCCTGCCTCTGCCTCCCGAGTGCTGGGATTAAAGGAGTGCGCCACCATCGCCCGGCAGTAGAGTGAGTTTAAAATCTTGGAGATGAGGATTCAGGAGGTGAAGTGCTTGCTGTGCAAGCATGAAGACCTGAGTTCAGATTCCCAGCACCCAACAATCAATCAATCAATCAATCAATCAATCGATCTCAACTCTTGAGATGGAGATAGATAACCTAAGAGAAATGGCCACACACTCTAGCCAATTAGGGAGCAATCCATTCAGTGTAAGCCCCTAGTTAAAAAAACTTGGTGGCAAGATATTTACAACTTTTGACCTCTTGCTTCCATATGTAGTCATGCCAATGCACATATACACACGTATACACATGCAAACACATATATGCATATAACATATAACACACACCAAAAAAAGTTAAATGAGCCCCAGAAAGATGGGCCAATGGTACAACTCAGAACACCTAAGAGGTAAGGAAACCCTAAGTGATCACCAGAGATGATTCAGGCCACCTTCAACACAGAGAACCAAAATGATATACACCTGATCAGCTGTAGTCCTGTGCCAGATTTTCCACCCAAGATGCTCAATCACAGTAGAGGCTGTATCAACTAAGCCTCAAGCTAGGAGGAGAAAAGGAGTCCAGGATGGCAGAAATGCAGGCAGACTAGGCTTCCACTATCTAAGCTAGGGGAAGACAGGATCCCAGAGGGATGCCACAAGGAAAAAACTCAATACATTATACATACCTCAACACTGAAGCCTATGAGGCCCCTGTGAAGTTGTAGAGAAGACTCTAAGAATACACAAATGTGAAGGTTACAAGAGAGCTCCACTTTTCTGGATGCTGGACAATTCACCCTGGATGCAGAGTTGGGAGACCATTTAGCCAGAAAACACACTACATCTGATGACTCTGACCAAGGAAAAAGCCTACAATCTAGCAACCACTAGAGAAGCCACACCAAGGAAAACAAGAAAATAAGGACTGTAAGTTGCTGTGGAAATGCTAAAGAAATAGAAAGCCATTAAATACAAATATTAGGTAAGAATGATGTTTATGAAAACTGAAGCAAGAAAAACAAACTGTGGTCCTAGAACAGGAATATGGTTGTATAAGCAGATACCAAAACACAGTAATTTAAATCTAATGGTGGAATGCCAATGTGTCTGTGACCCAAGAACAAGGGACAGAAATGGAGGGCTACGTGACAGTTGTGCATAATTTTCATAATCTCAAATCAGCACATTATGTCTACCATGGACAAATCAGAAGACAAAAAATATATTTTATTTACTTGGAATATGTATGTAGCCTGACATGATGGTGTATGTCTGTGCGCCTGCCCCAGGACCTAGGAGGCAGGAGTTCAAGGTCATCCTCAGCTACACAGCAAGTTCAAGGCCAACCCAGGTTACCTTTTTCCAAAAGGGGGGGATAGTTTAAATGTAATTGGCCCCCATAAGCTCATAGGGAATGGTACTATTAGGAGGTGTGGCTCTGTTGTGGTAAGTATGACTTGGTTGGAGGAACTGTAAAGGTGGGCTTTGAGGTCTCACATATGCTCAAGTCACACCCAGTGTATCAGACCACTTCCTGTTGCCTGTGAGTCAAGATGTACAACACCCAGCTCCTTCTCCAGCACCAAGTCTGCCTGCATACCACCATGTCGCACCATGATGATAACAGACTACACCTTTGAAACTGTAAGCCACCCCAATTAAATGCTTTCCTATATAAGAGTTGCTGTGGTCATGGTGTCTCTTCACAGTAACAGAAACCCTGATGAATATGCAGGATTTGGTGGGGTGGGGCGGGGGGGGGGGAGGAAGCTCAGAAACCTATCAAAATACTTGCTAAACAAGCATAAGCAACCAACTCAGATCCCCAAAAACTATAGTTATAGTTTCTTCTTTTTTTATTTTGTTTTGTTTTTTTTATTTAAAATAATTTTTATTTTCTGTGCATTGGTATTTTTGCGAGGGTGTCAGATCCCCTGGAGGTAGAGTTACTGGCAGTTGTAAGCTGCTATGTGGGTGCTGGGAAGTGAACCCAGGTCCTCTGGAAGAACTGCCAGCGATCTTAACCACTGAGTCATCTCTCCAGCCCCTAGTTATAATTTCTATTGCTGCACTAAAACCCCATGGTCAAAAGCAACTTGGGGAGGAAAGTATTTATTTCTTCTTATACTTCTAGGTAACAGTACATCACTGACGGAAGTCAGGGCAAGAACCTGGAAGAACTAAAGCAGAGGCTATGAAAGCATGCTACCTCCTGGCAGCATTGGCTTGCTCAACCTGCTTTCTTACAGCACCAAGAATCACTAGAATCTCCCACATTAACCATCAATCAAGAAAACACACTAAAAGCTTGCCCTCAGGTCAATCTAGTGGGTATATTTTTCCAAGTGAGGTCCTCTCTTCCAAAATGACTCTATCTTAGGCCACGATGCCCCTATAGCCAGCACAGTAGCAAGTGTTTGAAATCTGTGTTCCTACAGTAAAATGTGAGGTGGAGATCCAAAGATTTTGTCTCAAACAAGGTGGAAGCAACACCTGAGGTTTTCTTCCACAGGCACGCATAGGTATATGTGTATACACACGTATACAGTGATAAAAATCAACCAATCACTCAAACACAGAAATATACAAGAAACTTGATCCCTCCCCAATAATTATTGGCAAAGATCATGAACAAGTACTATATACAAGTATCTCAGATAAAAATGAAACCTCATTAGCTGTCACTACACATATATGTACATTTCCACACACAACTCATCTTGCTCTACTCTCAGTGCTCAGGAGTGAGGACTGTCTGCTAACCTACTGGACACCTAGCTGGATACAGCATAAGGCAGCCCTAAATGACAAGTCCTACTGCCTAAGTCCCAGCAAGGGGAACAAGAAGCAGACAGCTCCTGATCAAGAGAGAGCTAGACAGGCACTCACCTTATTGATCCAGAATACCATGGCATCCTCGAGGTCATACGGAAGCTCTTTTGAGGCGCTAAATGTAGAAAATCGCTTGACACTGGCCACCACCTTCTCAATGCTGATCATCTCCACAGTATAGGCCATCATCAGGGCATCCACCATTGCCATGTGGGCACTCTGGGGACAGAGGCAGCAGTCAGTATCCTAAACCAGGTCCCAATGCAAAAAAACTTTCTGCCTTGGCTTCCCCACAAAGAACAACACTGGCTGGGCACTGTTCTAGACTGCAATAGTGGTACAGGGTCCTCATTTCTTACCAGCAGACTATAAGCTTCCTCTGTAGCCCTGAAAAAGCTGTGGGAAGAGGCTGTACCCTCCCTTTGCTTCCTAAGGCTCTGGGATGCCAACAGGGCACTCTTCTGTATCACCCTACCTTCAGTCTCTTCAGAACTTTCTCTTCACCCACAACATGTCATCCTTAAAGTGAGTGAAAAAAGCTATGGCACACAAAATGCCAGGGAACAAGTTAACAAAAGCAATGCAAAGACATAGTGGGCTAGGGACCAGGAAGAAGCTCTGAGGACAGGGCGACTGATTTTGGTTAGTATAGCCATCCAACCGAAAGGCTCTGCAGTGCTGTGCACCACCACATTTACATCGTCACACTTCATTGCGTCACAGTGAGAAGAACCAGAAGCAAGCTGCTCTTTCCAGAATGGGGGCCTTTTTTAAAATACAGGCATGTCATTAAGGACCACCAATGCACATGGACAGACTTCACCATCTGTCACCTAACAGCAGGGCACTGAGTCTTGCCTGCTCATCCAAGGGAACAGAAGGAATGCCTGTCAGACACTTACCATCTTAATAGGTGCCTGGCTGAGGTCAGCATCTGTCACAGGGGTATCATCACTCTCCATCACATAGATGCCCTTCCGGGACAGGGCCTGAATGACAGACTGGTGTCCTTGTAAGGTAGCCACCTGGTCCCCTTTTAGGATGAGGCTGCAGACACGGCAATACAGCTCACTTGACAGGAGAAGTTTGATGACGGGTGGCTTAATGTGCTCCTGCTCATACTGGTCGATGTAAAAAGGATCTCTGAGGTCCTCAGGGATGTTGTCTATGGCAGGAGAGAGCACTGGGTGAGTGGTCATGCACAATCCAGTCTGGAGCATCACCAGATGGATGAGAACACACAGAGGAGTACCTTCCAGCACAATGTCAGCCAAGGTGCAGCCCACTGACCAGGTGACAATCAACACACCAAGGTCCAGGGCCAACTGACAGTCTCATTAGCATCTGCACAACAGAGGTAATACGAGGCATTTTAAACTTCCACCATCACCTGAATGATGGCGGGATACAAGCGCAAAAGTCCTGGGGTCTTAGTGGGCTCAAAGGAAACCAATATGCAACAGGGCTGAGATGATGCATCATCTGGTGACCCCTGAATAAGAAGGCTGTGAACACAGTGGCATTAGTTCTGGGGAGGGAGCTCTGTGTGTCTTCTTTCAAAATCAAGATCCAGGTAACAGCAGAGACTCAACAGCTTCCTCTTTAGGAAATGAGTCAAATCTGGTGCACTGTAGCAACAGAACAAAGGCAAGCAGCTTTCACTCACTCATCTCTGCTTCAGGCAGCACACTATTTAATCATAATTCTACTGATCAAGACTAATGACTAATGTGCCCACATTACAGACAAGAAAATGAGGCACGGCAAAAAGATATGACATGTCCAATGTCAAAAGAGACAGGAACCAACCGCAATCTGGTCTCTCATGCACTCACTGCCTACAGCAGACACATGACCAGGGGACCAAGTGTGCTACACTGATTCTGTATTCTCTGCACCACTTGTAAGATACTGAAACCTATTCTTTGTTGAAAGTACAAAGTCCTGAAAAAGAATCTCATTCTTTTACCCAGAGCCCCAGACCTGAGAGTTTGGTCTTCTCAAACATCCTTACCTCCTGGAGAGTTTAGAAAGCTGCAATCACCAAGAAGGGCATTCAAATAAATGGGTGGAAACGAAACAATCACCCCACAATCCATGGACATTTGTGCTAGTTGATTTGTATCAACAACTTAAAATCACCTGAGAGGAGGGAACCTCAATTGAGAAAAAGCCTCCATTAGGTCAGGCTGCAGGCAAGCCTCTAGGGCACTTTCTTTCTTTCTTTCTTTCTTTCTTTCTTTCTTTCTTTCTTTTTTAAATCTCATTGGCTGTCCTCTAATTCACTACAGAGACCAAGCTTGGCCTTGAACTCACAGAGATCTGCCACCTGCCTCTACCTCCCAAATGCTCGCATTAAAGATGTATGCCCAGTCCATTTTCTTTCTTTCTTTTTTTTCTCCAAGACAGGGTTTCTCTGTGTAGCCCTAGCTGTCTTGGAACTAGCTCTGTAGACCAGGCTGGCCTCAAACGCACAGAGATCTGCCTGCCTCTGCCTCCTGTGTCCTAGGATTAAAGGAAGTGCCACCACCACCTTGCCTGGTCCATTTTCTTAATTAGTGATTGATTAGTCCATTGTGGGTGGTGCCACTCCTGAGCAGTTGGTCCTGGGGCTGTAAGAAAGCAGACTGAGCAAGACATGGGGAGGAAGCCAGTGAACAGCACCCCTCCATGATCTCTGTATCAGTTCCTGCCTCCAGGTCCCTGCCCTGAGTTTCTAGCCTGACTTCCTTCAATAATGAACAGTGACACGGAAGTGTAAGCCAAATAAACCCTTTCCTCCCCCAACTTGCTTTTGGTCATAGTGCTTCATCAGAGCAATAGTAACCCTAACAGGAAAACATCCAAACTCTTCTAGCCTTATGCCAGGTCTAGCCACCACAGTGAGAAAAGGTCAGCTCTCAGAAGCTACCTCCCCTGCCCCAGCATCCTTTCTCTGCTCCCTTCTTTGTTTCTGATAGGTACTATTTTTTTGAGGCCCGGGTCTAATTACTGGTCTCTAGACTCTTGTTATTGTTTCACAATCGTTTTCTAAATTTATTATTGTATATACATATGAGGGAGTGCATACAAGCTACTGCATGAGTGTGAAAGACAGAATAACCCTGTAGAGTTGGCGCTCTCCTTCCACCTTTACATGGGTTCCAGAACTCATTCTGTTAGGCTTATATGACAAGCACGTTTACCCACTGCCAGCCCCGCTCCACAATCCCGACTTTATTTTTGATTCTTATTTCTTAACAACATGGCTAGAGTTTACACAGCACTTTAGTTTTGAAGCTCTGTTGTGCATATAGGATTTGGTCACTACAGCAATCAAAGTAGTGAACAGGGCTATGCACCAGTGCTCGCTGCCCAGGCTTAGAGGATGTCAAAACCCATACATTGGGTAGCATCCTATTCTGAAGCCATCTACAGTACTAACACTAAACAGAGAGTGGTGGTAATAAAAGGATGAGCCCTGGGTATTCCACATGGGAAGGCCTCTGCTTGCCTGGTCAGATGACTGAGGAAAGAGCTGTATGCCAAGTGTGTAGCACAGAAAGAGGGGACGAGCCACACCACACTCGAGTGAGGAGTCCCATGGAACAGAACTGAGAGGCACAGATCACACCATCAGAAACTGTGGGATCTGGTTCTAGACTGGTAAAAATCAAGCAAGGTTCTGAGCTAGGGAGCCCAAACCCCAAGTTTGTGCTGCTGCCAGGAAAATAGACAAGAGTCCTCTTAGGCCTACACCTTCTTTAAGTGCCTAGTAGCAGTACCTCGCTACCAGGGCTCCCAGCAAGAGCTACTACTACCCCTCGCCTAACTTTCAGCCCATACCTCAAGCTCTGTCCAGGTTCTTCTTGCATATTCAAAAATTCCAAGAACACATCTGACTTCACCTCTGGGGGACTTTACCCACCTTGAGACCTGAAAAGTCATGGATGTATGTCTATCCCAACATGTATACTAGCCCCAGCTACCTCCTCTGACCCACCTACATTAACATCCATGTGAATACTGCAAGCCATACTGGCTCCCCAAGCCACTTACCTGGATAGCCGGTAAGGTTCCTTTCTGAGAGCAGAAATAGCACAGCTCAGAAGGGACCCTACAGAGCCTCTCTCTGTTGCAGGAGAGACAGGACACCACAGAAGCACACCAAGAGCTAGTCTTTGACAGACACAAGGGAAGACCTAGGGAGGATCTGGAGCTCAAGCCACAGTATAAAGACATAAACATCCTGGACTTGGAAGCTAGCAAGACAGAAAAAACCATCCAGGCTAAGTGTCCAAATGGAAATGTTTCCCTGGGCCTGAGGTGGTTCATGTAATCAGCACATCGGATCCTTAAAAAACAATAACCATTCCTGTACACTTGAGATTCATGACAGCAATCCCAGATCAGTAGATTCACCACAATATGTGAGTTCCCTCCATTCCAGCTACAAAGTGCTACAGCCCACTCAGCAACTGAACCTCCTTTCTGGCCCTTCATGGCAGACACTGTCCCTAGCTCAGAAAGGGAGCACCTACTTCTCCCAGTCCACCAGTGCAGTGTCTGTTCCTAGATAATACTCAGCTCAGCTCGTATCAGAAGCTATGTTTGCTCACGTCTGTTCTTCTAATATATAGCAGTCAATAACTACTCTTAAAACAAAGAAATTTAGGGCTAGAGAAGTGGTTCAATGGTTAAAAACACATACTGCTCTTGCAGAATCAAGATTGAGTCTCAGATCCTGTATTGGGCAGCTTATAACTACTTGCCTGCAAAGTTCCAACACCCTTTCTGGCCTCTGTGGCAATATACTCATATGAACAACACCCCCACACACACACACACACACATACACGTACATAATTTTAAGATGATAATAATGATAATAAAATATTTTAAAAATAATACAAAAGCACTGTAAATGTCTTCTGAGTGTTTGGGGTGACTTGTTGCCCTATAAAAGGCAAAGACAGCAGTTCATAATCATTGAACAATTACTGAGCAGGAACTGGGAAATGCATGAACACTCCGGGCCATCAAAAGGAGGTAGAAGACCATCACCCTCAACAAACACTCTGAGGCTCTGAAGAGGGGGAAAAAAAAAAACAGTAGGCAACTTCCATAACAAGAAGCATCACACTGAAGTATGCACAGAGCCCAGCTTAGGCAAACAAGAAAAAAGATAATGACTCTCATCAGACAATTTTAAGAAACACAGTTCAGAATAGGAGAATGCTGTGCCTTCAACTGTCAGGGCACTGAGTAGGTTTATATACTCTAGAAGCACAAAAAAGAATAAACTAGAACAGGTTGTATTGGGAAATAATGGAAAGAAGAGGATAAGGAAATAATGTTCACTGCTGTTTCCTAGAGTAGAAGACAGGCCTGGACACCAGCCAGGCACAGGACAGGCCCTGTCACTGAAGTAGGAACTATGGCCCAGAAGATGACCATAGCAGAAAGAGGAGCTCCATAAGGGACGCACAGCTATATGGGGAGAGGGGCGGCATTCTGAAGAGGCCAACATGTGCAAAGCAGAAGTACAAATTAAAGAGATAGCATTTATGTATGATATGTATGAACACTCAAGAAAGAGGGCACAGTGAGAATGGAACATGAGCAGTCAGACTAGTGGCTCACCCTGGGCTAGGCAGACAAGGAAGACAAGCCAAAGGAACTAGTAAGTGGTCAGGAGACATTGGCAATTATATGGCCACCCCTATTCCACCCAAACACACTGGGGAGAGCCACCAAAATCAACATGCCTCAGCAGCATCAGAAACAGGCACACCAAGGAAAAGAAGGTTCCATGAATTCTCTGGACAGTGTAGCCTCAGATGTGCAGACTGGGCTACTAGTCAGAGGTTAGGAGGGGGACCTCAGAGAGTGGGGAGAAATTTCAAAACAAAAGGGAAGGGATGTCGGATGTTGTGGACTAAAACTTTTAACTATGCAAAGGTGTTTAGGCTGCACTTTTTTAACTATGTAAAGATGTGTCACTGTTTCATCTTACCTGCCTAAGGCACCTGATTGGTCTAATAAAAAGTTGAATGGCCAATAACTAGGCAGTACAGGGGTAGGCAGGGGCTGGCAAGCAGAGAGAATAAATAGGAGAGGAGGGAGCAAGAAGAGACGTCCCAGGCCAGCCAGCCACCAGACAGACAGACACAGAGAAAGCAGTGA